GTATCAGGAAAGGTGGGGTCCAGCTTTGAAGCGACTGGGAAGGGGAGCCCCGCGGGAGAGGAAGAACGGCCACAGCACGCCCTCCGTGGGCGCGCCTTGCCTCGATGTAACATCACCTACTCAAGGATTTCAGTTGGTGTCCTCTCACTCAATCATCTGGCCTTTCACATACAGGAATCTTCCACCCTCTATAAAATTTAAACGCTTTTAGCTATGAGGCTGCTGAGCATCATATCACAAATGCCAACTCCCTCTTCCTGCCCTGCCAGCCACATCTCCCAGGCCAGGGCTTCAGCACCGCGTGGCGAGGGAGTCTTTTCTCGGCGTAGGGAGGTTTAAGTGGTTGGGCTCCTGGTATTGGTGCCACGGGGACAGATGGGGCGTTTGCTGGCGTGGCTGGATGTGATGATCATGACTGACTCTTCCTGGTGAAATGTGGGCAGGAGACAGCACATCCTTCTGGAAACAGCGGGCAGGGCTGGCACCCGGGGTTCTCTGGCTCCCCAGCACAGCAATATGGCACGTGGGAAGAGAGGCCAAGCATTTCACCACTCAGCTCTGCTCTGACGTCTGTACTGAGGACTTCGTGACACGATTGTTCCCTGGATTTTCCAGCGCCAAGAACTCCCCTGTCACTAATTATGACACCAAGTAATTTACAGCTCACGGCTCTGCACTAATAAGATCCGTTTCTAGGCTTTGAGTTGCATCAAGCGCTGTCACTCATGGACATAAATCCTTACAGATTTTTTTAAAACAGAAGTTTGGTAATTACACCAGTGTCACCTTAAAATCAGGGCTCTCGAGGAGAGAAAGTGGCGCACGGCTAAACGTCAGGGGTGATCCTGCAGGATAGGCTGACCTGGATCACAGTTTTAAAACAAATTATTCGGTTCAGTTCCATCTACATCCTGAACGGGTAAGTGGCCTAGGAAAAGGGCCTGGAAGCCCGTGAATTTAAATTGACTTGCATGTAGTAGATTCCTTACATTCACGGAAAGAGAAAGAAAAAAAGATGCAGGCATTACCCCCTGGGAATGTTATTCTAATTCAGCTGGGGCCATTCAACGGTTGTTATTTGAGTGCCCTCTGGAATCGGGCGGCCCTTTGTCTGAATCTCATGTTTATTCAACCGTTAACGAGTATTTGTAATACAAAAGGATGAGTTTACTTTTTTAAAAAAAGCTACTTGATGTGGCTTTAAAAGTCACATGACAGGATGGCATCTGTTACTCACTGGAGCGCTATAACTGGATTTCCATCAACTCTAAATCATTCCGCTGCTAATTCTCTAGTTCTTTCTTTCCTTCTGGTGGCCTCTCTTTGGTCATGTCACTGCCTGTTGACACCTCTAGTGAGGAGAAGTCAAGGAAAATGATAGGAGCCAGGTCATGGTCCTTGAAGCTGGTGCAGAGCAGAGAGGTAGCAGGAGGCGGCTAAGGTTGTGGTCCCGGGGAAGCTTCCTGGAGAGGCCACCCATATGCCTCCATCTTCCCTCAATTAATAACTGAGAATGAATCAATCATATACCCTTGTTCCTACCACTGGACCTCAGAACACACCAACTGAACCTGGGAGACACTTTACATACTTTTAGGTGACTTCCTAGACCAGTGATCTCTTTATTATTATTATTTTTTAAAAATTTATTTATTTATTTGGTTGCACCCGCCTTAGTTGTGGCAGGTGGGCTCCTCAGTTGTGGCATGTGAACTCAAAGTTACGGCATGCATGTGGGATGTAGTTCCCTGACCAGGGATCAAACCTGGGCCCTCTGCATTGGGAGCGTGGAGTCTTAACCACTGTGCCCCCAGGGAAGTCCCCCCAGTGATCTCTTAACGGACATATTTTTATTGTTCCAATGAAGAGACAATGCCTGTTTTTGCTTTTCAAGCTTGAAGAATCTACCCACGACTTTCTCAGTTCAGCAGTTAAGCGGCTGTTTGAGTTGCATGTTTCTCTTACTGTCATGGATTTCAAATCAATTGGGACATGTGGCCACTGGAAGATGTCTCTCTCTATATATGATGGATGTGAAAGAGTGCTTTTTTATTCTATTGTATCTTTATCCATAAAGGGAGAAACACTGTATTGTAGCTGCCAGCCAGAAAAATCACACACATTGCTAATGGGAAGAACGAATGATAACAGCCTCTTGGTTGATACAGATAGGGACAAAATTATATTAGCTGCAGTCCCAGCAGACTGAGAAACATTTCCTCTTGTAGACAGTCCAAGACACTGCAGGTAGAAGTAGGACCATTTAGTTGTTGATGTTTCAGACTTAGCTTTCTGGTCCATACACTGGGAAATTCCTTACATTTTAATTTCCCATACATGTGTGTGTTTAAACACCATGCCCTTGATACATTTGATGCTTTGGGTACCTTACTGTCAAATGCATGTGTGTTTGTTCATGTTGTAGATTATGACTGCTTCTCCTTTTTTTTTGCTCCCTGAGTCCAGATCTTTTATAATACCTGCAACTTTCTTTTTCCTTTTAAATTTATTTTTTATTGGGCTTCCCTGGTGGCGCAGTGGTTGAGAGTCCGCCTGCCGATGCAGGGGACACGGGTTCGTGTCCCGGTTCGGGAAGATCCCACGTGCCGTGGAGTGGCTGGGCCCGTGAGCCATGGCCGCTGAGCCTGCGCGTCCAGAGCCTGTGCTCCGCAACGGGAAAGGCCACAACAGTGAGAGGCCCACGTACCCCAAAAAAAAAAAAAATTTATTGAAGTATAGTGGATTTACAATGTTGTATTAATTTCTGCTGTACAGCAAAGTGACTCAGTTATACACACACACACATATATATATATATACATTCTTATTTATATTCTTTTCCATTATGGTTTATCTCAGGACACTGAATATAGTCCCCTGTGCTATACAGTAGGACCTTCTTGTTTATCCATTCTATACATAATAGTTTGCATCTACTAACCCCAAACCCCCAGTCCATCCCTTCCCATCTGCAAGCTTCTTGAGATGAATACGGGCAGTTTTGGGACTGGTAAAAATGACACGTTGGCTTTGAATGATGTCTAAAGCCCCGTTTCCATTCTTATAAAGACTTGATTTGTAAGATAAGTATAATTGTTTTTAATTCCTCAAAGAACTGGGTTGCAACCTAAACGATATGGAGGCTGACCCATCCATATAACTACTTTTTCTTCAATTTGCTTAATATTAGGAAAAGCATCTTTAATTAAGATGAAAATCAAAAGATTCCTATATCTTCTGAATGCAAATTTCCACACTGTCATTAAACACGATTCTAATCTCCTGTTTTTGCAAACGGTTAAAGCTCCCTTGAACAATTTACACCACCAAACCCTAATTATATATGGAGTTGACTGCCTGATTGTACTCCCATTACACGCCCACCACCCTGGGGATTAATTACCACCTCCCTTGATGCCCAGGGCAGCGGGCAAGGAGGGGAAGGGGAGGTGCTGAGGGTCAGGAGAGAGCGTGCTTGGGGTTGAGTGCAGCTGCGGCAGCCACGGAAAGAGGAGAAAAACACACGTCCTCCTGGGCCACCCTTACACTTTGGTAAAACCAATTATCTGGGAACGTGTTCAATAAAGAAACAAAATAATGTGGATTTGGCTTTGAACCCTCAAAGTCTGTGCCCTAAGTAGATTAATGAAGTCCAAGCAGGGCTTGAGGGCTACAACTCGGTATTCTTTTTTTTTTTGCAGTACGCGGGCCTCTCACTGCTGTGGCCTCTCCGGTTGTGGAGCACAGGCTCTGGACGCGCAGGCTCAGCGGCCATGGCTCACAGGCCCAGCTGCTCCGCGGCATGTGGGATCTTCCCGGACCGGGGCACGAACCCGCGTCCCCTGCATCGGCAGGTGGACTCTCAACCACTGCACCACCCGGGAAGCCCTAACTCGGCATTCTTGCTTCTTGGAGGTGAACCAACTGATCGTGCCTATACTCTGAGTGAAGATAGGATTGGAAAGTAGGATGGGAGGGAGATGAGGGTGGAAGAGTCATCACCACCACGCTGAGCTTTCACTTCTCAGGTGGTCACGCTCAGGAGAGACCATCTCACTGGATCTCAGAAGAGCCCGTCATGACAGTCACTTTTTCCGATTAGGAAGCTGGGACTCAGAGACATTTAGCACCATTTTATTTTCTGACTTTGGGTGAGGGTCGTGGCTTACAGTCTGTCCCCTCAGCCAGACTGTCAACAGTCAGAGAGCAGGGTGTTCTCTCACTGTTGCCCGCTGCTCCACGCCGGGATTTAAGGGCATGCCTCAAACACACACACACTGCACGCTTGGTGAACGGCTCAAACTGAAAGGCGGATTCAAGGTGAACTCTTGAAACCATACCTGCTGCCTTCCAGGCTTGTCCTTGACACATATTTTTTCCCCAAGAGCCTAAATAATTTTCAGTATCATTTTATCATTTCTCATTTGTCATTTTCAGCATCTCCAGAGCATTCCAGGATGTTAATTTATTCCTTTTCTTTTGTTTCTCCTCCTCTTAAATCCATGCCGGGAACAGAACTAATACTTGGGTTTCGGTGTTAGGGCTGGGAGATGGATGACAGGATATCTTCTCCTGTATAAGAACTGTTTACACTTTTATAAAGACTACAGCATTTTAGAGAAAAAAAAAAAAGCTTTCAGGAGTGAATCGCTATTATTCTTTCCTGTTATAATTTACAAAAACAAAAAATGCTTCTCCTTCTGGCAGCACACAACCCCAAATGCAGGGGCTTAGAAATATGACTCATTGATGCCACTTAGCTTAGTTTTCTGACATCCTGGAGGCAGCCCTGTTAGCCCTGGTTGTTCTATTCACTCAGAAGTCTCCCAGGACTCAGGGGTACACTTGGAGTGAAGCTGCAATTCCCTTCGAGAGGGTGACATTTAACAGATGAGATCACATGACAGAAATGGCCACCCCGTGGATCAGACGCATATTAAACCATCTCCCTGCTCCCACTGATCTGGCCCTCACCGTACCAACCAAGGGTCCACACTTACATGTCATCGAAGATGAGTTTCTGCCTCTTGCAGTCCCTGTGGCCGTTGGAGCCTGGAGACCATGGCTCTGTCTGTGGCCGTGACTTGTGGAGAACGTTTTCGGAATTGCTGTGAGCTGCTTTCTAAACAACAAACAAACACACCTGTATTTGAGAAACTGGCCACCTGGCTGAAGGAGCAACCTGTTAGAATCGCTTGTGTTCTGTGTTCTAGGTTAGAGCTGATGGTGCTTTCCTCGTTGAAATAAAGAAGAAGTACTTGCACTACAGGTCTCAAGCTGGAGGCTTTTACATACGTGGTCAAATATCATTCCCGGGACATCAAAAGGGCACTCTCTTGGGCTTCCCTGGTGGCGCAGTGGTTGAGAGTCCGCCTGCCGATGCAGGGGACACGGGTTCGTGCCCCGGTCCGGGAAGATCCCACATGCCGCGGAGCGGCTGGGCCCGTGAGCCATGGCCGCTGAGCCTGTGCGTCCGGAGCCTGTGCTCCGCCACGGGAGAGGCCACAACAAGTGAGAGGCCGGCGTACCGCAAAAAAAAAAAAAAAAAAAAGGAATCTCAGTGTGCCCACTCCCGCAGATCCAGATCTTGAACTCACCCAAGCTCAGATGGCTATTGTGGGTGGAGGCTGGGGGCTTAGGATTCAGGCTCCTACGCTTCCCAGTTGGCTAGACCCATGGTTGTCCAAATGGACTGCATCAGAATCACCGTTAACACACAGCCAGCTGGGCCTCACCGCCAGCATCTCTGACTCAGTACGTCTGGGGAAGAGCCTGACAACATGCATTGCTAACAAGTTCCAGGTGATGCTGGTCCAGGAGCCAAGCTCTCAGAACCACTGAGCTATAATCATCCCTCACAAAAGAGGTCATTCAGGTCACAATTGACTGGTTCTCATCAGCTGTCTGTGAAGAACAGGGAGAGCCAAAGGGAATCGCTAGAAATTATTTAAGATGTGTTTTAAGAAGGAACACTCTGGATCTGGGGAAAAATGGAAACACCCTTTTTCCTGGAGATGGGGACATTATAGAGAGCACCTACTGTGTGCTGACGTCTGGATAATAAAACACCCCTGTTTTAGTTAGGAGATTCAAATGGATTCCTCTGAAGTAATTAAGGTGGAGTGTATATCAATGCTTCTTTAAATATGGACCGATTTTACGTGTAGATCAAGCCTCTTTGTTATGAGAGCCTCCAGGACTCTGGGCATTTCCTTTCTGGCATGCAGGGTAGTAAATTACGGATGTGTGTGAGCCCTGCTCTAAGTGGCTCTCCCCAGCTAGACTGTAAGCTATCCTGCAGGCAGAGACTGAACCCTTTAGATCATCAGTGCGTCTCTGTTATGTAGCAAAGTGCCTGGGACACAATAAATACTTCCTTGATAAACGCCCGTTCAGTGAAAAGAATGCCTCAATAAAGTCTATCATTGTTTTACGATTCTCTGCATATCATAGTTGCTTGTGATTGAAGGATCTAGAGGCAAAGAAAAGTTGTGTTTGGTTTAAAATTGGAATCGTTAGCTTTGTATTTGTTTTTTCTAATATGGTCTTCTCAGATTCGTGTATCCTAGAACCAAAGATAATTGCTCCCAAATGAGGGTGCATGAAGCGGTTAATTTCCTGATGTTCAGTAAGATTTAGGCTCTTGCCCGACCATCTACCAACTTTTTTTGCCTCTTTAATTCATGGGATAAAGCATGACATGCTGCCTCCCACCACCTTCTTTGCAGAGTCCTATTGCCAAGTCTCATTTCTCCCTGCCTCACAAAGCCCCACTGGTTTTGAGAGGCACAGGGGGAAGAGTTTGGAATTAAATCATGTACCTGGAGGATGCACGGTCCAGGGCCGCCTGCTGTTAGATGGAGGGTGGCAGGAAGAGGAACTTGCATGCAGCGTTAGCTGCACAGGCGTCCATAGGGGTTGGGTTCTTCAGGCGGTGCTGCCTCATTGAAATCTTACACCGCCGTTTTGCAAATGAAACAGGCTCAAGAGATTAAGCAACCGGCCCACGGTCACATGGTGACTAAGCTATGAGGCTAGAGGGGAACCCAGGTTCCCAGGGGAATACAGCGTGTTGGAATCACCCTTGACAAAGTCACTGGAAGAGGAGTGGTGGCAGCTGTCCCACCCTGGTCACCACATTGGTCACTGAGGGCAGCGGGGAGCCCTGCAACTTTGGCCTTGGGCTCCAATCCTGGATTTAGCTCTGCCCCAGGGCAAGAAATCTTTTCCAACAGAAAGATTGGTTGATCCCAAACTCCCAATTTACTTTGTCCTGGGAGAGTTACGTTAGGGCTAATTCTTTTCAGGATGGGAAATGAGGTCCTCCAAAGAGTGTTCCTAAGCAGAAGAGGCTTAAAATGCCTCCTCCGTTTCTTCAGCGGCTGCCTGGGCGACAGGCGAAGAGCAGCTGCTTTGCCAGGTCTTCCCAGACCAGCCTTTAGGGCTGCTTTGCGGGACCTCACTGGTCACCACGTATCAATGTAATCTTCCTCGACCAGGACAGGCTCCCATCGGTAATCCACCCGTCGGACCAAACGGAGGTATGATGCCACCGCAGCCAGGCATCCCACAGCAACGAGGAATGAGACCCCCAATGCCGCCTCATGGTCAGTACGGCGGTCATCCCCAAGGCGTGCCAGGTTACCTTCCTGGTGCTACGCTGCCATGTGGGCAGGGACCGCCAGTGGGGCCCCCTTACCAAGGTGGGCCTCCTCGACCTCCTGCGATGTCGCAAGGTGGGTGTTACTGATCTTAGGTCATCCAGTCCCATACGTTTGGAGATTAAACCTTTTCTCAACTTGTGCTGTTTATACAGCCAAGCTTTCTGTCAATAAGGCCTCCTTGTGACTTGAACAGACATTATCCTCCCACATACCAGAAACTATCGGACATTTATTTTACCTGGGAAAATTTATTTGGAATAATAAAGCAGGAGCTTTTCCTGAAGTTGCAAGTTGAAAAAAAAAAAAAAAGCTTGTGTTCGGACTGTGCTGGGCTAGAGGCAGAGTAGAGGGGTGTGCTCATTTTCGCTCTTGTTTTTTCTGGGGCAGAAGAGCATCAACGTACCGTGAGGTCTCCACCACGGGTCTGTAGCTGGTTCTCAGCCTTATGCTTTTTGTTGGACGAGGCGGAGGTGAACAAACCATTGCTGTTGGATCTGCTGGGGGAAGTCAGGTCCTCGCCGGGGTATTTGTGTTTAGATGCGTCGGAGAGGGGTGAGGTGGGTGAGCGGAGCATTTTTTCATTTTTATTTATTGGGATTGCCAAGCTGTAAACGGAAATCACAGTAATGGAATGTCACACACTCAGCGCGTGGCAAGGTAAATGTTTTATATGTGACCCTCCCACTTAAAACCTGCTGGTAGGAAGACGTTTATTGGGAATTATCATGCCAGGAAACGATTTTATGGCATTAGGACCGTAACGAACAATAAAGAAATTTCGTTCATGGTTTCTTTACTCGTCCTCCCGGAAAAAAATAGTAATCTGGAGTTAAATAACTAAGCATAATAATACCTTCATTTCCCAAGTTCTTCATCCAAGGATCTCAAAATACACGACAAACAACTTACTGTTTTCCTAACAAGTGTAAAGAGCAGGTAACGGGAAACTCAAATTATACACGAGATCTCCACTTCCAAAAGGACTTTTGCTAACACCTGAGCTTGTACTAATTATTATATGGAGAATAACAGAATCACAGAATAACCAAGCATGAACCCACCTTCTAATTGTTAGGTAGCCAGGCATGGATCAGAATAAACAAAGAATAGAAAACTGTCATTAGAAATGACATTTTCTGATGCCTAGCTCCTTATTTTACCTTCCAAACTATTGTCTATATGCCTGAATATAAATCCCCCCACACCCCGCCAAAGACCACCAGAGAAGGGAGTCATATTTGAGTCTTTGCAATGTACATTATGTAGATAGGGCTCTCTCCGTTGAAACAAAAATTGGGGGAAGACACATTAGCCTCAAATAAACTCAATCACTGCTAATTTGGGATGCTTCTAGAAGTCACCTGGTAGAGTCAGTTAAAATAAATTCATTTAACAAAGATTTAGTCATTATTCCCGCAGTTGTGACTTCTTAATTGCATGTGTTGACTATCACTGCAAACAAGCCAGTAAAGTCACTTTTTATTTTTAAGCAATTTCCTTAGTTGGTGGTCACAGTGTAGAAATTACAAACACAGGCCTCTAGAACAAACGAGAAGCCAAGGTTCTTAATGTTATGCAAACAGATCTGTGTCGGGAGAGGATTTCTGATGACAGCTTTCTGGTTCAAAAAGTACTGTGCATCCAACAACTTAGAAGTGAGAAGGTGTGTTCTCGAAAACTGCCTTGGACGAGTCAAAAGTGGCTCAGCCAGTAAAGATGAAAACACTGATGGTGAAGACGGACATGAACCGTCTGAATATAACTGTTTCTTGACATGTGAGTGAAAAAGTCTTATTTCTAAGTCTCAGTTATTTTACATACTACATGATCTTAAATGTTTGCAGAAAACTAAATTATTACATTAAATATTGTCATGAACATATGACTATTTCTTCATCATTATAAGTTTATCTATTCAGGTTGACCAAAGTAACTTGGAAACGTTCTTGGGATCGCATCTTTGGGATGGGCAATCACCATATATGAAGGATTGTCTTATTACACAGGTAAAGCTTAACAGTGGTAATCACAATTCCAGAGGTACACAGGCCACCTTTCCAAGAAAAACTCAAAGCACTTTCACATGCGTTGAGTCCTTACTTAACATAAGTGAAACCATCAGGGCCAGGAGGCTCTGCCAGCAAACACTCTAGAGCAAGAGCTCTTATCCTGGGGTCCCCGCACTTGCATGGGAAAGAAGTTGCATCTTCACTTTCCTTAACCTCTCGCTGAAACTGAACATCTCCTTTAACTACGAACAAAGGCAAGAAACCACAGTGGTGGTTTAGCAGGAGTACTACTAGCAAGACCTGGGACTGTGTCACCAGTGGAAATCACAGATATTTTCATGCCTTACCAGTTGTGGCAGACATCCTGAAATATGGTTTACACTCATCACTACTAGAAATTATGGTCATTACTAGATCTGCTAGAAAGGTTATTTAAGGCATGAACAAAGAAGCACATATATAACTCTATCACACATTTAAAAAGACATTTTTGAGGGCTTCCCTGGCGGCGCAGTGGTTGAGAGTCCGCCTGTCGATGCAGGAGACGCGGGTTCGTGCCCCGGTCCGGGAGGATCCCACATGCCACGGAGCGGCTGGGCCCGTGAGCCATGGCCACTGCGCCTGCGCATCCGGAGCCTGTGCTCCGCAACGGGAGAGGCCACAGCAGTGAGAGGCCCGCGTACGGCAAAAAAGAAAAAAAAAAGAAAAAAAGAAATTTTTGAGCCGTATTTTCCCCATTCACATTTCCTCAATATTTTGGGATGCCATCTGCTTGGCCCAGAGGACTGTGGGCTCGGGCAGCTTGTGTGTGTTGCTGTTTCTCGCTCAGACCTTGAAGGGCTCTCGCCCTTCTTCCCAAGGTGATTCTAACACTGCAGTGGGCCTGTGCTCAGGTGCCCCCGCTCTCCAATTTCCTCTCCGGGTTTTAGTACTACTCTACATCTTCTCCTAACCTTTCAGTTTACATTTTTATGTGTTGCGCTGAAACATTAATCTCCCCTTAAAAATTCTATGTACACAGTCAGGGAGAGTGAGGAGTGTCTTAGCAGAGGATAAAGTGGTTTCTGAGCTGTGCTATTTCTAAATGGAAAGGACTTCTATGACTGACGATAAGCTGCTCACTCATAATAAATATCTGGGACCTGGCTTTGCTAGGAAGCCTTTGTCACAGAGGGGATTCAGTGCCATGTGGGTCTCTCTGGAACCCCTTGAGAGGAGGGACTGGGTGGCTGTTTCGCCTTGGAGACCCAGATCCTGTCTGTCACCGCAAATTCAGTCTACACCCAACGCCTTTAGGTGTGTCATATGGAGATTCTGCTCAAGTTCATATTTTTCATCGGTGTAATAAGCTTATTCAGTTTGTAAGTTTTCAGAATGGAGGGTGTGTTTTTGAAAGGACAGGACTGTGTGCAACTAGTAACTGGTCTTTTGTTATAAAGAAGTATTTCCAGCGCACCTGGAGCTGTGACAAGAAGCACACGTCCAGGCATACTGGTTAGTCTTGGGTTAAACCAAGGGAAAGGAGTCTGCATGAGACAGGCTGGGACCTGGGACCCTCTGCTGCAGTGCTTGCACCTGGACAAACATCTCCTTGAGCCACAAAATACAAAGAAACTACAAGGGACTAAAAATAACTGCATGCACAGGGCAGTTGGAACAAATTATGAACAAGATACAAAAAGGCCAAAAACCCAACTGCCACTTCTGAGGAGTCTGGAGCAAAAATGCAGGGTGTCAGGAGCAAAAGTAGGTTACTGCGCACGTCCCCTGCACTCAGCGCCAACAAGGGGGTGAGCAGACCTCCTAAGCCACCCCTCCAGCCTGGCCCCACCCTACCCTCACCCCATTTAAGGAATCAGCTGGCCCCGCCCTAGGAAGGAATCAGACCCCTGGCCCCACCCTACCCTCACCCCATTTAAGCAATCAGCTTGCCCCCCATCAGACAGCGTGCAAGGGAATCTGTTACTTGTCTTTGTTCCCTCGTGCTACAGCATGAGCCCCAGTAAAGCCTTGTCTGAATTTCTTGTCTGGCCTCTTATCAATTTCTATTGATTAAGGAGCCCAAGAGGCTTGGTAGGCAACATGGAGACCCAGAGCAGAGCAGTCACTCAAAAATCCGACTCTCCCCCAGTAGGCATGTGCCTCTCAGACCCAGACACGCCTCCAGCTCCCTCTGCCTTCCTGGGAGCCTGAGTACCTGTTGACGTTCACGTTGCAATGGTTTGCGGACAAAGTACTGCTGGCGGACGCAGTGAGTCGTGAAGAGCTCTCCTTCTCTCCCTGAGCCTTCCTGATCTCCCGGCAGTCATCTTCGCTGTCACACTGCATGGGAAGAAGCAAAAGCCAGTCAGCTTTGGATTTCAAGGGATCACAGCGAGCTCCCATCGCCAACCAGCTCATCTGGGCTTCTCTGGACAACATCCTGAGCACCAATGAGGCTGCAGCACTCTCGGCCCTGGCCTGGGTTCCCCATCAGCTACTCCGTGAACAAGGAAGAAATCTGTCAGCTTACTGAGAGGAAAAAGCGTGACACGAAGATCACCACTGAACACTTCTTTACCAACAGGCAGATTCCACCCTCCAAAGAAGACCTGTTCTGGAGTCCCACTGGAGCTTCAGCATCCCTCCCTTCGGCATTTCTTGGTACCCAAACAAGGCATAGCGACCTATCCTGGGCTTAATGTTGTAAGGGCAGTGACAAGCTCGGACCTTTCTTTTGAAATTCATGGCCTCAAAGGACATTTTTATAAAACAGTAGTTTGACTGGATTCTTGTTTTCCACGATTGCATTTAACCTAGGCATGCACTAGGTATGATGCACATGAACTCAACCGAATTCCATTTTTGGTGAGATCGCAGCAACACAGTACAGGCACATTCAGGGCTCTCAGCAGAGCTTCCCAGGAGACAAGCTCTGGCACCAAAGATAGAGAAATTTTGACCTTCTCTCTCTAGCTGGGGCTGTTACACAGCCTCAACTGCAAGGACCCCAGCAGCTCACGCTGAAACTGTGCCCCCAATGAGGGTCCAAGCCGAAGCTCTGAACCCCCAGTTCTGGCTTCCAGGGCTCTGGCAGGGCTAGACTCTGCACCCTGGGCAGCCAGGTCTGCGGTGTCCCATCTCCAGCACCCAAAACTGAGGGCTTCACACCCCAGATACTGAGTAAAGAGTGCTGTGAAAATGTTCTTTCACTTCTCTGTGTGAGTTTAATGATGATTCAGTAGATTTCATGAGGAGAGCTGAGTGTCAGACTTAGTGTAAATGAAGTTTTGTAAGTTAAAATAAAAAAGCCCATGAATAATAGAATTATTTAAATACAGAATACTATGGAATATACATGTATATGTTTTTGCACATCTCTCTATCTACATATACCTATACAGCTATATATATTTCCAATCTATCTGTATGTTTATCAATTTCTATCTCTGAAATACCTCTCTCTCTCTCTTTCCATCAGCCTGTCCATTTATCCATCCATCTCCAGATGACTGGCTGATTCACTCACTAATCAATTAATCACCTGGGGACTGAGGGACAAGTCAATCCAACGAGTAAGGGGGAGGGCAGGGTATGAGAGGAAAACAGAAGGAAAGAGGGTAGGTATGTAGTGAGCTAACCCGCATTACTGCATTATATCATGTGAATCTGACAACACCCCTGCAAAGATGTCACCATTTTACAAACAAAGAAACTGAAGTCCACAGAAGGGAAGGTCACCCAGGAGGCCAGGGCTGACTGCGTGATTTGCGGGGTTCAGTGCAAAATGAAAATGCTGGGAGCCTTGTTCCAAAAGCAGGAAAAGATGCTTGATGTCAGTCTTGGTGATGATGTTTTTGGATTTAACACCAAAAACAAAGGCAACAAAAGCAAAAAATAAACAAGTGGGACTACATTAAACTAAAAGGCTTCTGCACAGCAGAGGGAACCATCAACAAAATGAAAAAGCAACCTACTGAACCGGAGAAAATATTTCTAAATCGTATATCCGAGAAGGGATTAATACCCCAAATATATAAAGAACTCATACAATTCAACAGCAAAGAAACAAACAAAAAAATCCAGTTGAAAAATGGGCAGAGGATCTGATTAGACATTTTCTAAAGAAGTCATACGGACGGCCAACAGGTACATGAAAAGATGCTCAGCATCACTAATCATCAGGGAAATGCAAATCAAAACCACAACGAGACAGCACCTCATACCTTTCAGGATGGCTATTATCAAAAAAACTAAAACTAGTAAGTCTGTGAGGATGTGGACCAAAGGGAACCCTTGTGCACTGTTGGTGGGAAGGTAAATTGCTGCAGCCACTGTGGAAACAGGATGGACGTTGCTCAGAAAATTCAAATAGAACTACCACATGATCCAGCAATCCCACTTCTGGGTACTTATCCAAAGAAAACGAAAACACGCATTTGGAAACATATCTGCACCCCCATGTTCACTGCAGCGTTATTTACAACGGCCAAGACGAGGAAGCCAACGTCCGCGGCTAGACAGATGGATAAGGGTACTGCGGCATATATGTGCGTACAACAGAAGAAGGAAGCCTGCCATTTGCAACAACACGGATGGACCTAGAGGGGATTATGATAAGTGAAATAAGTCGGACAGAGAAAGACAAATACCTTACGACCTCACTGACATGCGGAAACCAAACCTCCTCCCAGCTTATGCTGTCAGACTGCTGACTGCCTGGGGTTGGGGGGAGTACAAAATGGATGAATGAGGTCAAAAGGTACAAATTTCTGGTTATAAAATGAATAAGTCGTGGGGACGCAATGTAATATACAGCATGCATGGTGATTATAGTTAATAATACTGTGGTGCATATTTGACAGTAGCTAGGAGAGGAGATCTTCAAAGTTCTCACCAGGAGGAAAAGAAATTTGTGACTATGGATAGTGACGGATGTTAACTGGACTTACTGTGGTCATCATTTTGCAATACTTATAAACCAATATCAAATCATTATATTATACCTCAAAAAAAAAAAAAGCAAGCAGCTAAAGACTAACATTATAAAGTACTAAAGTCGGAAACATTGTGTCTTTCAAAGTCTCTCTCTTGACCTGTCACGCTGTGGTTATTTGCTATTTCACATTGTGCTCCTTGAGGCATGGGGATACCTGGGGGGCATGTGTAGACACTCCCAAGCACCGGGGGCCTGGGCCTGCGACAGGGCGCTTGTGCGCAGCCCTCCAGTGAAGGGCTTCCCCCGCCAGCCAGTTGTGGAACCCACGGGTCAAGGGGTGAGGAAGTCCAGTTAGGCATTTCCCCTTCCCCAAGGCCAACTGGCAACCCCTTGCGGATTGGACTGCCATCTCCCCTGGAGGACCCCTCAGTACTGGGGTTGGGGGCGGGGAGATGCCCATCCTGACCCCAACCCTCATTAGGCCTGTGCCTTGGCCCCTGGATGAGGATGAGGATGAGGATGGGGATGCTGCACAGGGCTAGCAGTGCAAAGGGGCCACGGGGCAGGCAGAACCTGTCCTGGGAAATGGGCAGGAGGTGGGACCGCGCAGGCTCCATCGTCCCATCGCACTTCACTTACTACACACAAATTCAAAAATAAAATGAAGAATTCCAAGATGGCAACTGCAAGCATTAAACTCCAAGTACAGAGCCCTCTGAGCAGGGGCCCTGTGGGGAAGATACTGCACAAACCTCATGCTGACTTCTTACTGGGAGACCCTGGAGCCACAGACCCAGGCTTCATTCCTGGCTCTGCCCTTTCTCACCTATGTGAACCTGGGGCAAGTCCCTTTAGGCACTCTGAGCCTCAGTTTCCTCATCTGTAAAATGGGCATGATGATAATATTTGCTTCATAAAGTTGTAAGGACTTTATAAACGACTTAATATGTACAAAAACAGCATCCCTCATGGGGACATATATACGTGTTAACTATTGTGAATGATTTTCTCCTAAATTTGGGACCATCCACGATGACTACAATCTTTGGCTTGTCACGCATTGTGTTTTCCACTGTGGTCCAAGTTACTTTTGAAGATGTAGTAACAGGAGGGAATAAAAATCCTCAAAATTGGTTTAAAATTATGATTAAATTATTCCTGTGCTCAAAAATCTTCAAAAACGGCCAAATGGCCAAGCATTTGGGTCTGCTTCCTGACAAACGTCCTGCTCTCCGAGTACTTGAGCTGCCTGTCTCACTTCGTTCAACCCGCCTTTGTTCAGCTTGCTTCCCTCCTTTGGCGCCACCTCATCCCTGACCCTCTGATTACTCAAAAGTCCCTCCTCCTGAGGGCCCTGTTCCCAGCCCATCTCCACCACAAAGTTCTCCTGATCAATGCCACGGGAGCGCCAGCCGCTGGCTCTGATGCACCAGGCTGGTGTCCCCTCCCAGGGCCCCGTCGTCCACGGTCCCCACTATGCACTTCTGGATTCACGCCTCACCCCAGTCACAGCCTTACTAAACTCTCTGAGGCTGCTGGCTTCTAAAGTCAATGAACGATCCCACCCCTTCCAGCAAAGAATGGGGTTCACCCATATTTTTTCTCACAGGCCCAGCCTCCAGCTTGCCTCTGCACATACACTCAGGGAAGATTTCCCGTTCGCCTACTTCCACATGCAGTGAGACAGACCTTAATTATCTATAACATGGGAATAATAAGGATACTTCCCTCATTGGGCAGTGCTAAGGATTTAACTGAGTTAATACATGTCAAGTACTTACAAAGGTATCTGGCATACATAAAGTGCTCTATGAACGTTTGTTGAGGAAAGTCACATAAAACTCCTGCTCTGGGAACATTCTAGACCAGCAGACCTGCTGCCCACAAGTTCAGGGAGAGCCCTCCCTCCCGCCGTGCCCTCAGCCCCTCGGGTTTCCAGGCCTACCTTGCGTTTCCTCTTGGATTTTGGCAAAGCCTTTTCTGCGGGCGCATCGGATGCGTGGTTCGGCGGGGCGCTTTCAGTGTCCTTGGCCGCGGGAGCGCTCAAGACCCCCGGCTCCTGGGGCAGGTGTTCTGGGATCCTGGACAGGAGGGTCAGGTCAATTTTGACCCAGAGTGACCTGACCTCGTCACTGTCCTTCAACGGGGAGAGAAGTTCATTGCGGCCGAAGGGGACCAATGTGTAGAACTGCTCTTCCAGCTCCTTGGCAATGTCGCTGGTGGTCCTGGCGTTGATAGAGCCCACAGGGGCCCGTGGGCCGCCACCGCTGATGCTGCTGGCAGCCTCCTTCAGCCTCGGGTCGTTCCCGGAGGCGGCAGTGGCCTTGGACAGAGGGTAGTCCTCTTGCTCCGACTCCAGGTCCGAGTCCGCGGAGGAGGACGACGAGGACGACTCGGTCTCGATGAACTCCTTGGATTTGGGGACGATCCGGCTCAGCCCCCGCGTGCGGCGTTTCTCGCCGGTTACGGCCGAGCGCAGCTCCTTGCGGTGGCTGGTCCTACTGTTGCCGCAGGGCCGGGGCTTGGGGGGCTCCGGGGGGATCCCCGCGCTCGCCCCCAGCGCGTCCGCGGCTGCGGGCTCCTCGGGCCGGTGGCCATTGTCGCCGGCGGAGGTCCTCTCGGTGCGCCGCGTGGGTTTCTTGCCCGCGGACCTCCGGGCAGGCGCAGGCGCGCTCTCGGCGGGCGCACCGGCCACCGTGGGCGGCGGGGCGGCGGCGGTCACGGCCACGGCCACGGCCGCGGGCGGGGACTTCTGCTTCACCCCTTTGCTCCCCGGGGCCTTGTTCGCGGTCCTCGGCCTCTGCTCCTCCTTGCAGGCGCTCTTGATGTCCTTGTCTCTCAGGCTGGTCGGGCAGACGTTGTCGGGAAGCTTCCCGCAGTCTGGCGCTTCGTCCTTCACCGGGGTGTAGTATTGATTGCCCTCCGGCCCGTGGCTTTCATTTTGGATCAGGATAGGAGGCTTGTGGGGATTAACTTTGTTTAGCCATTTATCCAGCTGCCACTTGTTAGAGGACGCTGGTTCGGCCTAAAAGCAGAAAACCAGCAACAAACAAATATCTTTTATGATGGGCTCAGTTAAAAGGGGCCTGGCTGTTTTCCTCTTGACTTAGGGCAGACAATGGATGGGCTGGAAACACAAGGAACATGGAAGCTGTAGGTGTGTGCAGCATCAGTGGGCACACAAGATGCAGAGATGCTGTCCGCTTCCTGGTCCCCGGCACTGAAATGCCAGTGCAGCAGCTGGAGGCCTATTTGGAAAATAAGGGGATGCACTATGCTTCATTAGGACCCCTTTCCAACATTTCTGAGGGTTATACAATGTATATATTTTTATATTTATACAGACATACATAAACTTGAGAGTCCACAAAAGTTAACTGGGGTGTAGTTTGGAGACCCTGAGTGTTAAAGCACTCATTTTTTGTGAGACTTAAAATATGGGGAGGGGGGCGGAATTAGAAAAGGGGACTGAGTGGAAACTAAACTCCCAAAGAACTACCTGTGTGTGCCCAGTGCACTTTGATGGCTGGACTTGGTTCGTCCATCCTCAACCTGCATCCATCACACTTTGCCCGAAATATTTCAGATGAGGAGGTGACAATGGAAACCTTTCCTGCAAGCAGTTTTGCTACCTTAAAGCAAATCCTGGACATTTCAGGTTTTAAACTCTGGCCCATAGATGGGCTCCAGGGGTGGCTGGGTGGGTGGGGGCGGTGGTGGGGACTTGGGTGGGGGCAGGTCAGTGAATGCCCTGTAACAGAATGTGAAATGTCACGTAGACGCATTTTTCGAGGAGAGGGACATAGCTTTCATTCATATCTCTAGGCAGCTACGTCTTATTCAAAGGTTAAGAACGGATGCTTTTACAGGGAGTAAATGTTGTTGATTTCTAATAAAAGTCCATTTATCCAGAATCTGTGATTATTAATAGAAAAGAGGTATATTGATAAGTATAGAACTTTAGCTAGAGTATTATCAATTTGTGAATATAGGTAAAATGGGGAAAATTTTTGAAGTGATTAAGGTGATGTATTTTTCCTTCCCTATGGCCTCTACCCTACGAATTCATGGCTTCTGATGATCCAGGGGAAGACTAAATACCAGCCTAAAATAAAGGATCGGCTTAGCTTTGCACTTCAAACTTGGTTGGTTAAAGCCCAGAGCAAGTCAGGCGCCCTTGTAGGCGAAAACCACTGTTTTCTAACATAATAATTTCTTAAAGCTTCCTTTCACGTATCAAGATTTGGTTCTCAACAGTGAGGTTGGTATTAAGAGCAGAACTTGGGGCATAGCCACGTGCAGCAAGGATCTTGGGGGAGGGGAGGGAGGGGAGGGCAGTAATATTAGACCCAAGGGTCCTGGCTGAGTCTGGAGGCATCTGGGGCACAGCTTAGGGAGATGGGAAGCCTTTAATGGGCCAGCAGGGCCTGGGGCCAAGATGAAGTGGCCACAGAGTGTGGGCACCAGGCACTGGAGCTGTGGCAGGGACCGTGGACATCCTGCTGGTTCCCCCAAAACAGATGAGCCTGTCTACACTTCAGGGAACCACAGCGCAGGGTGTCCAGGGACTGGGAATGACAAGAGACCTTTCAGTGGAGGCCAGCATGGGGATTCCAGGCCCTTTCCTTGGCACCCTGAGGAAGAGGCGCCTCCCCCTGGGATACAGGTGTGGAAGGGGAATCTCTCATGACCCTGACAGGGAGTCTGCTGTCTGACTTAACTTTCTGCTTCATTTGCTTTCATGCCATCCAAAGGACGAGGGCTCCCAAAGCAAGAGGCAAAAGAACAAAACGATACATCTTTTTTTGCACCTCTGAGTTGTCCTGTGTAAATTCTGACCTCGCTTTAATTTGGCTTCTCCAGAGACAGGGGACAATGGAACCTGCAGAGCACACCTGACCTGGTCCATCCTGCGACAGTGACGCAAGAGAGGAAGCAGGGCAGCAGGGCCTCTTCTTCGCCAAGGGGAAGCTCTCGCCTGCCCTGAGATTAGCCAGGTGTGGTTGAAGGCTACTTTGATGGCAAACACAGCTATGGCTCTGAGGCTGTCTCCTCCCTACCCCATTTCTCTCGGACCACCGGCGAGTCAGTGACTTCTGCACCTCAGTTTCCCCAGATAAATGGGGCCCAGTAATAAGAATGGATGCTGAAGCGGCCTTGCAGAAGGGGACACACACGGGGAGAGGGTGGACCATTTATGGCAGAGCCTGCCACTCACACTGGCCCCAGCGCCACGTCTCACGCTAGCTCGCCCTCATCCCCAGCAGCCTGGGCCTCCCACACCTCACATCTCTTATGTGGGAGAACACAGACATGTGCCTGGAGCTAAAACACAGTGGCTCACGGGGAGACTCCCACTAAAACTTCCTGGAGGGAGCGTTAACAGTGAAGGGAGAACTGAAGCACTTGAGTGCGGCCCCACTGCCTGATGTGCTCTAGGGTCATTTTTTCTGCTCTTCACAGCTGAAGAAATGAGGCTGAAGGACCATTTTCAACACATCACTAAATCACATTCTCTTTCTCAAAGGATCTACAAGGGCCTCCTCTTGCCCCTCAAACAAAAATCCAAATTCCTCGGGCATCCATCATCTAACAGCCATCTTTCCTTGCCAGAACACCTACAATGTGCTCCCATTTTATATGTATCATCTAACTGAATCCATACAGGTAAGAAATACTGTCGCCCCTAGTTTGTAGATGGGGCTCAGAGAGGTTAAGTGAAATGTCCAAAGCTGCAGAGCTACCAGGCACCACCAAGGCTAAACCCACATTTGTCTGGGCTTAAAGACCAGATTCTCTCCCCTGCTGCCTTGCCAGTCTCCCATTACTCTCTGGTGTAGCCTCACGAAAGAGGAACCTCGTTTTTTTTGAGAAATGTCAGTCTTCAACCTAAAATGATAGAATTAGATTGATTTTTGGAGACACCACTAACTCTCCAAATAACACCTGTGGCCTTCTGTTATCCTTAATGCATCATCTTTTCATGTCCATAGCCATTTCATGTATATAAATCGTGTGTCTTCAACAAAGCCAAACACTGCTTTCCAGCAGGGGCCAGGTCTCTGCTTCTTTGTATCCCTCGCAGGACCCGTAATAGGTTAGGGGGACAGCACGCTAGGACTCTGCTCCTACTAATAATGACTCACAATGAGCTGTCACTCCATTTGTATCACTTATTCCTCAGAACAACGTCACAGATTAGACGGCATGGGATTATCTGCCATTTCGGGGATGAAACAATTGTGGCCAAGGAAGCTCAAACAGCCAAGAATTAGGTGGCAGGGGAGGAGGGTGAACTCAGGGCTTGGGGTTCCTTTCCTGCCACGCTGCTGGCTCTGGTCCATTTCCTGAGCTGTCCATCAGGGTTTCTGCCCAGTGCATTTGATTGTTTCCTGGCTTGCTGCTTTGTATTTCCATCCAGGACTCTCCTCTCTGATCAATCTTCCCTCTGATCAGTGTATAAGCTCTCCACCGTGTACTTTAGTCTCCACTTCATCTATACCCTTCAGAGCACCCACTGCCACATACCCCACAGATGCCTAATTAAGAAGCCTGTTGAATCAATGAATAACTTGTATCGTGTACCTGCTGATTTTCAAGAACAATCTAGGGCAGCATTTTCCAAAATGTGCTTTGAGTTCATATATCCCATAAAGAAAAGTTTCCGTGGTCAGATACATTTGGGAAATGCCACAATGGAGAACACCGTTTACATGAGCAAAATTAAGGGCTGAATGATGCCCTATGGTAAAGAAACAGGTGAAACCTACTTTATTCTGGATCTCCTCAAAATCCTGTGACCAGGCTCTTTCTTGTCCCTGCAGCATCCTTTACTTGGGGAACACCGGTCTAAGGAGCTCTGTGTGCTGGTGTAAACGTGCTAACTGAAGGGCGAGGCGCTTCCCCCTGTGAAGCTCTGGCGTGAAAGGATGTCCCAGACCAGGAAAGAAGATACAACTCAAATGAAAACAATTAGGCTGAGGAGAAGCAAGCAAACGTCGGGCCACAGAGAGGGGATCTGCAGTGATGGAAATACTGTTTTCGGGGTCTCTTCCGTGCTAGCTTGCAGACAAGGGGTTATACTATGGTGATTCATGTGAAATGCAGTGGCTTTCTACAGCCACGGCCATAAACAACAGCTCGTATGAAACTCAGGAGAGCCAAGTGGGTGTCCAGTGCTGGACGTTGAGGGGGAGAATGCAGGTGTCTTGGGATATCATGAGGGTCTCCTGCTTGATAACAGGAGGGCCTCAGGATACTTCCAGGAAGGAAAGGAGGGCCACAAATGTTCTGCTGCAAAGCAGCGTAAACAGGTCTTCACAACGGAATGTGAGGTGTGTGGCTATAAAGAGCTGGATTGTCCTGTGGGGGGGAAGGAAAAGGGGTCTCACTGCTCTCTTTAAGGGGTCCTGGGCCAGCTTGGCCAGAAGAAAGCAGAGATGCCGTGGAGACTCAGCAGGTAATGCTTCCCCTCTTCGCAACTTTCATTCTGCAAACTCACTATTTCTTTTCTAATTTTTTTTTTTTTTTTTTTTTAATTTTTGGCCATGCCACACGGCTTCTGGGATCTTAGCTCCCCGACCAGGGATCACACCCGCGCCCTTGGCAGTGAAAATGCGGAGTCCCAACCACTGGACCACCAGGGAATTCCCTCATTGTATTTCTGAAGGGCGTGTCTCTCTAGTCACCTTGGGAAAAATGTTAAAAGAAACCTTACTTTTATTCCAAGGAATACATTCCTTTCCAGCAGAAAGAAGTCACCTGCAGTGTGGCTACATCTCTTGTCACTCCTGCACTCCCTCTGCATAGAGAAGCCAGGAGTTGAAAGCTACACGCGGGCTCAGGCAACTTAAACTTTGAGGCCTGTGTTACCAGACTCCCCTCCTTCTCCTCAGCTAGGGGCCTCTGGTAGCTGCTGGAAGAAACAAGAAACCGCAAGTGCTTCCTTTCATCACCCAAGAGTTCAGGGCTTTGTAATTATCTCAGTGACATTTAGAGAGAATCTGCTTAAAGCCATTTATAGCTGTACTTCTCCGAGGCTGCTTTCAGCCTCACCTAGAAACTCCAGGAGTCACATTTCAGCATGCAAATGAGACTCAACTTTCCTGAATTTAACCTTCAAAGTCACAAAGAGCCTGGGGTGGAGGTAACATTCACAGACCCTAACGCTTTTAATCTACCGCCACTGTCCCCCCTGGCTCTTGCGATGTCCCTGGAACCCAGTTCTTTCTACTAAATATTCTGGAATTTTTCAACAAATTAGAGCATAAAGCTGGCTCTGAAGAAGCCCGGTTAATGCCTCTGTTTTATTTAACTCCTGTATTTTTGTTTGTTTCAAATTACTCCCATTAGAATATCAGCTCTGTGAAGACAGGAACCTTCTCTGTCAGCTCATTGCTGTCTCTCAGGGCCAAGCATCATATCTGTGGCAGAGGCTCAATAGATCTTCGTTGAAGGAACACTAAATGAGTGAATGAATGGATGAATGAATGAAATGATGAAGAAGGAAAAATAATTTAGCTTCTGGGAAAAGTCAGGGTTATATCAACATATGGCTTTTATAGGTTAATGTTGCCAAGGGCCTTCCCCTTAAATAGGGAGATAGGGATAGAAAGACAGATAGGGAAAGGGAGAGAGACAGAGAGAGACAGAGACACAGGTACACAAGCTGGAAACATGGGTCTTGCTGGCCCTTAAAGGTGCTCCTGGGGACTTCCCTGGGGGTCCAGTGGTTAAGACTCCACACTTCCACTTCAGGGGTCACAGGTTCGAACCCTGGTCAGGGAACTAAGATCTGCACGCATTGCCGTGTGGCCAAAAAAAAAAAAAA